ATAATAAATAAAGTTAAACTACTAAATTAAAAATACATATAAGAAAAAAAATTTTTAATTGACATTTATTTATTACGTTAATTTTTCACTTAATTTTTTTATCCTAAAAGTTAAAGTTAAATTATCATCGATCTAAATAGTTTAGTAATTTTTTCCTTCCATTAAAAATAAAAGGTCTTTTCGAATCGTATGGCATGCGGGTGTAGTAGGATAAGAGATGAGATGTAATTGTCTCTTGTTGAGTAACTAAAATAATAAAAAAAAAATTAAGTCAAATTAAGATTAATATTGTTGAACAGATAGAGTAGAAATTAAATTTTGATATATAATCTAATCATTTTTTATAATTGAAAGAGTTTTTATATCAAAATTAAAAGAATCATATTAGTTGCATCTAAATTTTGTAACTCAATGATTATATATATATATTTTTTTGTAAAGTGCACCTCTTCCTAAATTGTAACCCATTCAAAAGAAAAAAAAAAGTGTAAGCCAAGTTGAGAAGCCCTGTATTTTTCTTTTAATTGGCCCAAAATGCGCCAATTGGCAAATGACAAATGTGAACGTGTGGGGACCAGAAAATTTCCACCGGACCCACGCGCTTCCCCACGATACCATCGCCCTTTTGTCCTTTCCTATACAAAACAAATGATGCTAGAGGAGTAGATCCCTCTAAGTGGTGCGTCATTTGTGAGTAGGACTTTTTAAGAAGAAAATCATTTAATTGTCTCAAATTAATAGTAATATTTTTAATAAAAATAAAAGATATTAAATTTAAACCATATAACATGTGAATGAAATAGATTAAATAATAAAAAAAATTATTTTTTATTGTGTAATTTAAAATAAAAAAAAAGTCTAAAAAATGCACAAAACTTGAAATTCATCAAAGAAAGTAGCCTGTAAAAGTGAAAGTTGATATTGGTATGCAATTCTTTTAGGGTCTTTAATTGAAATAGAAAATAAAAGCTGTAAACTTGAAGAAAAGATTTATTCATGCTGAAATTTTTTTTTTTGGTATTAAATCTCTTAATATCCAAAAATTACATTTAAGTTTAAGTAATATGAAATCGAGTTACATTGAATCCTATAAGAAAGAACACTCTCAAAGCGTTCGTTTGTTTATTTATAAGACTTGAATTTAAAACTTTATTTAAATGTTTTATGTTCGAACCAATAAGTTACTAGTTTCACATTGAACTTTTATCCAAAAAAAAAAAGGTGAACCATGCTCTAAATTTGTGTTAACTTTCCTTATTATGTCAATTATCATGATCTCATGTCAATCATCAAGATCTCGTACCATTTTGGAACATTGTATTTTACTAAGGGACAAAATGGAAAGAAACTGAATATGAAAACATGAAAAAATTCGTGCTGTAGCTTTCTAGGAGCTTTTCAGCTTATATAAACCATACCATGGAGCAACACCTACCACCACTAGTAGTTAGAAAAAGTAAAAGTACTAATCTCATGTCTCTGTTAAACAGAGAAAGCTTGTATCCAAAAAAAAATGAAACAGAGAAAGCGATTCATCTCATTGGATCATTGCTACAAAATTAATCTCATGTCTAATCTAAAAAACGCGTTATGCCAGGCCCTGGAATTCCCTTAATTTTAGTTCACGACATTATTCATTCAGGCACTTTGACATTACTAACTACCACTGGAAAAGGAAAGTGACAACATTGTCAGAATCTTGAGAGATTCATGCAAACCCATTTTAGTAGTTAAAAGTCATTAAAGATTTCACTTGTAATGAGTTAGAAGTTGAAATGATGAGTGCGCATTTTTATCTCTGCAACAACGACGTCAAAGTACTCTGTAAAGGGCGTCTCTGGGATCGCGGTTCGAAACATTTTCGTGTACTTATATAATATTTTTAAATATATACGTGTTTAATAATTTTTTTAAATTATTTTTAAAAAAATTATAAAAAATTATAATAAATTTACAATAATTTTATATATAATGATAGGAACTTTATTTTGGATTTTTTTTATTATGATTTTTATGAAAAATATATAATATATTGTAATACCCCAAAAAATTCCAAGCACATTAAGTTGAGTTAAGGACCTAATGGTGAAGAAACATTATTAATGGATCAAATTGCCAATTTTTCAAACTTCAAAGGGGTTAAATTCTTATTGGATAAGGCCGGCTGACTCACTCTTTTTTTTCTTTTTCTTCTTTCTTTCTTTCTTCCCCCA